CTTTGTGTGTATTTGTAAACTGCTCATAGTCCGCCCTCCAACCGGAGATGGGGTGCAGGCAGCACGCCTTGCAGCCCGAACCCCCCTCCACCTTCATCTCTCTCTGTCCCTTTATTGCCACACCTGACAGGCTGCTATAATTGATTGTGCTGAAGGAATTACGGCGACGGCTTCTGATGCGCTAGGTGCTTAAGTTGACGTCTTCAGACACATTAATATGGAAATCCCTGTAAACTAAATGATATTTGTCCCCCTTTTTATGCAAATGTTTACCACCAAGCCAGTTATCACTTTGATGTTTCACTTGGAAGAGCTATGGTTTGGACTGCATTTCCTTGGCTGGATGTACCGCTACCAATTATGCACTGCATTCAAGATAAAGTCCCTCTAACCTTTATTACAAAGGCCTTTAATGTTCCCCTCGTGTGGGGCTTCTTCTTCATGGTTTGGTATTTAAGGAAACGGTTAGCTCTACATAAAGTGTGCCTTTCATAGTTAGCTGCTTGAATATGATTTTTAACGTCCAAAGAATACAAAAAAACAGTTTTAAAGAGTTTTTGATGAAGGTTATTGGGCCAGAAAAAGAGATATCAGGGTTTTTAAAACATGTGCATGTCCAAACAAATTGTTCTGTTCCCACCTCTCTTGGTTTTGAAGTAACTTCCAAGCCCCCAGACCTGCCCTTCTTTAAAGCTGCTCTCATCATATTTCTATAGAAACAAAATGAGAGTTCTAACCAACTATGCAGCTCTCCTTAGTTGAGCATTTTGTAGCTTGTTAGCTTGTCAGATTTCATTGTTCTTGTTAGCAGCATTTAATAAAGGCAGCTCCTTTCACTGAGAAGGCTCTGATGAACCCGGGATGTGTAAATAAATCAATGTTTGCTAAAAGAAATTGCCCTTAACTTTATAGAGTGATAATATGCATGTTGAGTTTTCAGCTTGTTCTGCTGCTGTCCATGCAGCTTGAGGATGCACAAGCTGATGGTCGTAGGGCCCTTTAGTGTCCCAGATCCCAAAAGTATTAGGGTGCGTCTCACTTCGGTTATTTTTAATTTCCTCGCTCCTCGGGCTCGGTATCACCGGAAGTTAATTTGTCTGCCCCATCTTGAGTAGCGTCCCAGTGGCCTTATTTGTGCCGGAGGACCGAGGATCGAGGAGCGATAACGGAGGAGCGATAATGGAGGAACTACCAGACCATCCTCCGGTGAAATCCTCAGACACTCGCCCCGCCCCCTTACTATGTATCGCTCACTGATTGGGCGATGCAGCGCATGCACTGATCTGGCTGCTGTCAGACATCAGCTGTGCGGTGTCATCACAAACGGACGTCGCTTCACGTGACGCTCCGGAGGAAAGGACGTCCCATTGCTCTTAAAACTCATTTCCCTGCTTCTCGTGGTTTCCTTGCGTCTCTCCATGCTTCCCTGGTGGGAGGGACTAGTCGCAGGGAAACGACGCAAGTGAGGGACGCAAGGAATCCATTTAACCGAAGTGAGATGCACCCTTAGTCTACTATTACTAGACTTAAATAGATTAGAATCATCAAAAGCTTTATTTTCAACTGCACAGTAGATAGAGTGTAGTTATGGCAATGAAAAGTCCCAGACCAAACAATAACAAATAATACAAAATGGTGCAAAAAGAAACATATTAGAAATAATATAAAGACATCAAATAGTGCAAGAGAATGTTGCATGATCAATGTTCAAGTAAATGCAGAAGTCTATATTTAGGTGCGGTTTTGGCCAGTGGGTTAGATCAGTGATTCTCAAATGGGGGTACGCGAACCCCTAGGGGTACGTTGGGGTACTGCAGGGGGTACGTGAGATAAAAATAAATAAAAAGGTTAATTAAAAAAAGACCATGCATGATTACAAAAATAATCTTAGTACAATAAGTTGAATAGAAAACACAATTGTATATAAAATATTCCTAGAACCACTAAGGGGGTCCTCGTATAAACATGTCAAATGTGTGTATTGTAGTTTATAGTTTTTCATAATATATCGTTTTGTTAATTGGTTTGTTCAATATGACTTCGAAACCCGCAAAGCGCTTTGAGCACCTGGAAAAGCGCTCTAATAAAAATGTAATGCATTATTATTATTATTATTATTATTATATGTAAAATATAGAAATACAAGCAAAAAACATAATGTACCATTAAATACTGTACAGTGGAATAAAAGACTGCTTATTGTAATACAACATAAATATTTGAGTTGCAAATAGATGAATGCTAAAAAGTGATGAAGACTCTTCACAGTGCTCATGTGTTTAACATTCACTAATTAATTGAGGTATAAATCAGCTGTGAGTAGGTAGGAATATAAGTTTCTATAAAGCGTTAAAATGTGCAGCGGTTCAGGTCTGCATGTCAATCTCCTGGCAGTTACTGCACTATGTGGCTTTGGGAGCTACATGGACCCCAGTGCAAAGCCACAGAGGACTGCACAGGTCACCACAGTGTCTACTTTTAATATTGTGACCTATTCATTTAGTTACAGCTCATTACCCACTCCTCGGGGCTATTGTAAAATCAGCGGTTAATCACAATCACCTTATGTTCCCATATCATTTTATGATGCCACAAACCTCACTGAAACGTGGATTCTACAGAAGCAGTTAAGCTCATAGTTGCATAATGATAAAGGCACTGTAAAATAAAGCCTGCAGAGTGTTTGACTCTGTAGGTGAACGTGACATCTGCAGTATGAGGTGGAGTGGTGCTGGTGTGGCTGTGTAGTGCAGGCCGCTCCACTGGCAGGGATTCGTTGGCTCTTATCTTGATGGGATGCTTTGACAGGTACTGCATCACATTAAAGGCCTTACCAATCTTCCCTGTCACATCCAGCAGGAGGCTCACAGATAGGAACTCCCCCCCCCCAACACTTTTCGTTTTCTCTTCTCTCACCCACATTTTCTTACACGACATATTGAATTTTCTTCAGGTTTCAAAGACAAAATAAAGACATGCAGTATAGAAGCAAGATCACTAACTCTATCGAATAAGTCAAAGACATAGACCCCAAAGCCACCTACACACTTTCTATAATGTGCTTATGTTTTCCTACGAAGACATTTCCATTGGCTCAGAGGGTGTTTGATGCTTTCCTGGAATGCTTTTCTCTTTAAACTTTAAACTTTTTTACTTTCTGTGTTGTTGGGAGCTCGACAGAAACAGAGCAGCAAAGTTATTGGAAATAATTAGGGCTTAAATTACCTCTGTGGACATAACAAAAATCATATACATTTTAAATGTTACATGTACCTTAGACTTAATATAATTTAACCCGGTTAGCTATCTCCTATTGACAAGGTTTGGAAAGATTTGACTCAATTTTATTGTCATTGCAGAGAATACAGTTACTGAGACAAGGAAATGCAGTTTAGCATTCAACCAGAAATGCATCAAACAGGAAATTCCAGAGAAGTGTGAATATAAAGTGGTTTATATAATTGAACAGTAAATGGTGGATAATATGCCAAGTTATATATTCAGTATGAACAGAACATTTTCCAAGCAATAATGTAATGAACTTGGTGAAGTTGCAGTCGATAATGTCAGAAGGGACAGATGGACTGTCTTTAGTCTCTTCCAGAAGATCAAATGTTGATAAGCCTTATTCATCACGGCCGAAGCTTTGAGAGTCAGAGAACACCTCAAAGATTTGGACTTCCGAAAAACGTTCATCCTCCATCCCGTTCATGTGGAGAGTGGCGCGAGTGCCACCATTGGTCGTCTTTCAGTTCAAGATGAGCACTTTGTCCGTCTTGATGTTGAGAATAAGGTTGTTGTGCCGTCTGCTGCCAACTTGATATTGTTACCGTGTACAGGCTAGGGTGAAGATGGAGTAGTGCAGAGGACTACGCACACAGCCCTGTGGCACGCCGGTGTTCAGGGTGAACGTTGAGGAGGTTTGATTGTTTAACCTACCGGAAACTGTTGGGCAGGAAGTCCAGAATCCAGTTGCAGAGGGATGTGTTGATGTAGAGCAGAGGTCACCAACTACATTTGTCCAAGGGCCAAAATTAATCCAGAGATTTTTATATATATATCTATATATCAGAGGTCGCGTTAACTGAATATTTTCCGTCTGACGGATTTCTTTCAACAATGACGGAAAAATCTGAAAGCAGTCCGTCATTTTGACAGATTAGAACAAACTCGGAACAGCGCCAAAGTTTCCCCGCAGTGAGACTCCGGTGTTATGCCGTGTTATGCATGCCCTCCAAAAAGGAAATGATACCGTTTCCAAACCTAACTTTGCCGTACAAATCATTGAAATGTCTGTGAGTTTTGGCACAGTTCACGAGCATGCTCTTCCCCCCCTCATCTTATGTCTTCCTGTTGTGGTGGTAGGTATAGGTAGAACGCAGTGTTTGAGATGAGCCAAGACAAGCATCTTGAAGCACTTGATGATGGGGGGGGGGGTGCTACAGAGCGGACCCTAACCCAGAGCACCAATCGGAGATGCCATCAAGGCCAGCAGAATCAATGCAACACATTTCAGTTGGTAGACAGTGAGGGGCTGGTGGTCTGCCTTTATAGGCGCCGTGAGTTTACAGCAGATTCTCAGCAGAAGGAGCCGAGTAGTTCCTGGTGTTCAGGAAACGCGCTTTCATATATGTGAAGGTACCAACGTATGAGTGCAGAAGGCAGCAGAACTAAAGCTAATTTATCTTTAAATGTAAAACTTAATAACTGGTGGAATACCACAGTTTACTGATGGGAATTTGAAATTGAATTAATTACTTTACAAAACACAAGGATTTGAGCCTTTGCAGACAAAAGCACAACAACCTATATAACACACTACAGGAAAGGTAACCCCAAAAAGCATAATAGAGCCTCTTAAATCCTCTAAGATAAGCTGTGCTCAATACTTTTCTTTCACAACATTGCCTTTAGCTATCTCAGCAGATGTATTGTATCTCCTTCTCCTATGCATATGATAGTTTGCTGTAATCATGACCATGTTGTTTCCCGATGTTTAGGTGGAATCCACCCAGAGTATGATCAGGATCCTGGGACTCTCAGCCACGCTGCCCAACTACCTGGACGTGGCCTCCTTCCTGCACGTCAACCCCTACATCGGCCTGTTTTTCTTCGACAGTCGCTTCAGACCCGTGCCCCTCGGACAGACCTTTGTTGGCGTCAAAGCCACAAACAAGGTAAACACACAAAGATGATGAAGTATTTACAAACCTCTATGACCCTGTAAATGTATCATGCACAGATGTATCCGTATTTTATCCGTTTATCAATTTTATGAACTATTTCAAGAAGAACGACTGCTACACCCCACAAGTTCTTCATATTATATTTGTGTTTAAGCTGTATGTATCTGCAATTCATTCGTCTCAGTTAAGTAATAACAACATGTGTTGTAATTCTGTGTCCTGTTTAGATCCAGCAGCTTCATGACATGGAGGAGATTTGTTACAACAAAGTTCTGGAGCAGGTTAAAGAAGGTCATCAGGTAAGGGCTCTTTTGCATATTGAGAACCTTCTAGAAAGCAGGTGACATCAGGAGGAGGACATCATATTTGAATTCATACAACTGAAATACACATACGAAAATATTCATACCCTTCAAAAAGTGAAAAGGCAAGCTTCTTCTGACCGAAAAGAACGAGATGAAGTCTAAGCGTATCACACCAACACTTTTACATGGATCGTGTTCTTTTTTAATGTTAACACTCAAAGTGAACTTAACACTTCAGGTATTCTCCTTCCCTTTTTAACCAGGCTTCAATCTACTGCATTGCTGTCATACATCTTCATGATTTCTCTAGTGAAATGTTTGGACTAGAAGAACCTAAAGAGGAACAGTAATAATAAGTTAGGGAGGCTTTATCTATATATTATTTAAAAGTGCTTCATATACACACATAAGAAAAATTGAAATTAATAAATTAGAAACAAATAACATATCAAAATACAAGAGACAGACCCAACTCAAATACACAGGTCAGGGACTGAGATCTATACAAATAGAGAATAAAGGCTCTTAAAACTGTCCAGAGATTCAACAAGTCCGTTGATTATAAGACGATAGGCTCTAAAACTACAAAGGTGGAATTGCAGATGGAGAGGGAAATGGATAGATGTAGTGATTGAATTGGTCGAATGGAAGAAGAATCAGGAACAAATACATATCTGACATATATACTGGGCAAGGGTCATGCAGTGTTTATACGTGATTAACAGGATCTTGTCATTTATTTTACAGGAAGGAATGAAAAAAAATATGCTCAATGTAGTTTTTCACGTATAGGACCTCCTGCAGCAGAGGTCGCGTTAACCGAATATTTTCCGCCTGAAAGATTTTTTTTAACAATGAGGAAAAAATCTGAAAGCAGTCCGTCATTTTGACAGATTAGAACAAACTCGGAACAGTGCCCCCGCAGTGAGGCTCCGGTGTTATGCCGTGTTATGCATGACTGCCAAAAAGTAAATGATACCGTTTCCAAATCGTACTTTGCCGTACAGATCATTGAAAAGCGCTAACAGTTCACAAGCGTGCGCCCCCCCCCCCCCCCCCCCCCCTCGCCAGAGTTGTGTAAAGGCCGACGGGTAATAATGGACTTTGACGGAAATGTTACGATCCTGTCCGTCAACATGACGGGCAGTGAAAAAGTCTAGCGCAACCTCTGTCCTGCAGTATATATTTTCCCAAACCCTTTGGATTGAACACCTGCTATCTGAAGTCTCTGACGACCTTATCTCCCTCAGTGTTACCCTCCCCCTTCCTTCTCCCATCCACCACCCTCCGCTCATTCTGCTTCCACTCTGCAGCCTCAGCAAGTCTGCTGGGAGGATGAGAGTTGTGAATTCAGACTTTACCGTTTAGCTCCCATCTGCTGCAGGAGTTGAACCCCCGTTTGAGCACCGGTGTTATCCTGTCTGCCTCATTTTATTGCAGGTGTTCACACACGCTTACACACACCCTTTTTCTAGCATTGTTCATCTAGCTCTCTTGCCCATTATATCCCTCAGAGACACACTTCAAATGAATCTTGCTGCAGCCATGGGAAACTTGTAAACTAACCTAATTCTACTTTACCACTAACAACTTTTTGTATCCCCCTCTTGACACTCTTCAATGGGCCAGTCCGCCCTGTGGGTTTGAGGCCGCTGAGGCCACAGATCATCTCGGGGGGGGCCTCCCTATCGCTCATTATTAAATTGTCAAGAAGTGGCTGTGACATATACTAGTTTCATCTGGGAGGATCTGATGGATGACATTTCCTTTATGATTTTCCCAGCACCCTCCTGGTGGGAAGCATGCTGCCAGAAAGAAGTTTAATAAGCAGAGAAGCGGCGGTTACTGCCGACAATGCTTCCACAGCGCTCAGTGGTGCTGATAAAACACCTTCAATAAATAACGCTTGCTGCAGTGGTCTCTTCGGACCTACTGTGTTTGTAGCATACACACAGCCGGTAGCTGGAGGTGTGTGCAGTCATGCAATGTGCTTTGGTCTAATAAAAGATGTCCATACTAAGAAACAAAAAGACATCAAAACAATATCCGCAGGGTCTTTCATGGCTTTTTACAGGTAATTGTAACACTTATTTAGTGCTCTATTATCGTTTGAATGTGCAATACTTATCTAAATTGTCATTTACACACCTTCTGTTTTATTTTATATTACCATGTGCCCCTGAAATTGTTAGAAGTATAGCAAATGGGAGTGTCTTTAATTTCAATTATTCAATAATAATCAGTTATTTTCTTTCTTTTTCTTATTGACCAAAGCTGCCGTCGCATGATATGCAATTTGCTCTTTGCACATTGCAAGGTAAGGCGCAAAGCCTCGCAATGGAAACAGCTAGTTTGTTTATGGTTACCTCCCCTGCTTATTGTTAAGCAGTCATCTGATTGATTTTGTGTTTCAAGGTCAATCAACTTATCAGTAGCACTCCACGATCTGGAAGTTAGCATTGCAAGAACAACAAAGAGCAATGGCATTTCTCCGTTTGATTTTGGATTATTGTATAAAATAATATCAGTTGCAAACGTTTACAGGTGTTGTTCAGCAAGATAATATCCAGGTAATAACACCACATATATAATTGTTGGTGTGTAAATGCAATCGCCACAAGTAAATAGCTAACAATGTAAAGGAACTACATCACAGACGTATGGCTTCATGTCACCACCGCTAAGCTAAAGGCGGCTAATGTTCGACATGATGGCTGACACAAGCTACAGAAATTCTCCAGTGGGGTATTTAATAACCTGTTTTATGTAAACAAATGTCAACATCTATTAAGCTTGGGGTAAGTCATCATAAATCATTGACTTTGGGACGAGGGAACTGGAAGTGGTAAAATGCCGACTCATAAGGTTTTAGCACTCATTCCTGCACCACTATGACGGAAGGTTAAGGGAGTCTTACATTTGATCCATTAAATGTTGAACTTGTTGACTTGAAATTCCAATTTTACAGATTGGAAAAACTGCATAACCAGCTGAACTTCTTTGTGATTATGTGTCAATGTTGTGTTCCTCCTTATCTTCTGTCTTTGTATGCCTTAGGTGATGGTGTTTGTCCACGCCCGTAATGCCACAGTGAGGACGGCAATGGGTCTGATCGAGATGGCCAAGAACCATGGAGAGATATGCGTCTTCCAACCAAACCAGGGGGCAGACTACGGCCACTGTGAGAAACAGGTACAATGTCCTTTTAAAAGCATCATCTAAAATCTTTTAGCTTAAATTCCCTCACAACAACACAGGGTTGTCAGGGTATGATTGGTCATTTTGGTTTTCAGCATAGTCAGTCACATTAGCTTTTTCTAATCCCATAGGCTAAATTGCTGTTGTAAACGTTTCCAGAGGTTATGGTGTTTGATGTTGGTTACAAAACTGGTTAATATGCCAAGAACAAGATTTCACAAACAAAAACAAACATTATCTGTTTATTCCCATGGAATTGCCCTGTCAAGTAAATCTGTTGAATTTACTTAAGTGAACTTTGATACACAAATGTGTATGTGCGCCTTGACAGTGCTGACCTGATGATGTCATGCTCTATTAACTTTGTTCCGCCATCTACTTTTACATAACCGTCCTCTGATGACGTATAAACTCCAAAAACAGGCAACACGGCCAGTGAGTAACTCAGCCACATGTCTTGAATAAACTCGTTCTCACAGTCAGATTTCTCGGCGTGGCTCCCGAGTTCAGGCGCATTTATGGCTAACTATTGTGTCGTAGGTTAGCGTGCCAGCTACAGCAGTTTGACAGTTAGCCCCAACATTATATAAGTCAACAAGCTCTCATCTCAGATGTTTAGGGCCCGAGCAACGACAAAGTCGGAGCAGAGGACCTGAGTTTGCAAAAGTTTGCTAATGTGAAAACCGATTTTTGGTAAGGGGGTTGGGTTCTGAATTCGCCACGCCCACACTGTGAAATGATTGTGGTATACTCTTATGAACGGCAGCAGAACACTCGGCAGAGAGTTCCTGTTTTATAGATAATGTTTTGCCCCGGCCCCTACTCTTTAGCTCCACTCCCCTCTTACATAACTCATGCACTGATTGTCACAGACACTTGCGGGAGGTATCATTTCACTCGGAAGAGCATGGGTGTGGACAGGTAGAGTGCAGCCCACCAGAGCATGGGAGTGCAAGAGCCGTTCAAAGGTTTAATTTGAGGAAATGCAGGTAGATTTTGCTGTGCTGCATTTATTTGATGTCCCACATAAGACATAGAACTTTGACACAACAACAGAAACAGAGGAAAAGTCACAGATAAAGATTGTCTGGGACAAAATGCTCCACATTTTTACACGACTGCACATTTACACAGACTAACACCAGTTATGCCAAAGAGAACAAGTTTGATATAAGAAAAGAGAATGCAGCTCATCATTACTGTCAACACAGTTTTGGTGCTACATTACATGTGTGGGCAGGCATGAGAGCAGGACCCTCTGTGTGAATGTGTGTGTATGTGTGTGTGCGCATGTGTAATTAATGGTTTCTCTGCTGTGAGAGTACACAGAGGTGGAGCTACATTCTCCCTCAGAGGATAGCCAGTCAAGACTCCGACTCGCGTATTTAAATCTCCTGCAACAGAAGGCAGAGTGATAAATTTAGTAACCTTTTCCTTCATTCCCTGGGGCTGAGCCAAGATTGATGCGCCTGTAATCTCTCCTCTATTTAAATGGGATATGTATACAAATCAGATCACTTTTCATGCTTTCTAAAACTGGAAATGGAGACAAGAGATTATGTTAGGGGACTAAAAATGGGTCTTTGTGGCCTGGTTAGTCTTTGAAACAGTACGTTAAAAGCATTTGTGCAAGTGTTCCCGCAGTATAAGTACATGAATGAAGCGTGTTGTGTTTGCACTAACTGTACGTTAATTCACTCCTGGCCCTTCTGCCTGTTTCCCAACATAATGAGAATTATCCACTCCATTAGTCCATCTGAGTGTTTGTCAGTCGGGCCTGCTCTGAAGGAAGAGGCTCAGGTTGATTCCACTCTAAGCCCACACAGAGATAATGCACTGCTTATTTGCACTCTGGAAATGGCCCCACATTAATATTTATAGGTGTTTTTTAATCTCCAATATGCATATGCAGTGAAATAAAGCACCTCTAAGGTCAGCCATATAATTTAGCATTTATTTATCCAGCTTTGAAAGTCAGAAGTGATTCCACCATATTTTTCTCTGCTAATGTTATTTAATTGGCTTAGTCCCCGGGGATTGGAGAGGCTGTCAATCAAGCTTAGATATCTTAATGCACACACTCCAATCAATTCTTGTTAAATACAGTTTGTGGTGAGCGATGATAAAGTGCTGTTGATGTTGAACACTTTCCATGAGAGCATTTCAAACAGTAGCCCCGCACTCCTAAAGTATTCAGACCCTTTACTAAAGCAAAAGTACAAATACTACACTATAAAAATTCTCTATTACAAGTAAGAATCCTGCTTCTGTAATGCTACTTACTCAACGTATGATCACGTAAATGTACTTGAGGTATTAAGATTAAAAGTATTCATTGAAGAAAAGCAAATATTCACGTTTGATAAATATCAAATGACATCAAAATGAGTTCAACAATTAGCAAAATTGCTGCCAATTAACTTTCTATCAATTCTCTCATTGTCTTAGGTACTAAAATATAATGTTGGCTATTTTAGCCTAAATCAAAACATATTATTTAACAGTTCCTCATATTGTTTCTGTGTTAACGTCTTCATTTATAAGGTAACTAAAGCTGTAAAATAACTGTAGTAAAGTAAAATGTGCATTTTATCCCTTGTATATGTACATAACTCTGACAGTGCCCCTTATGCTTGGGTTTTAATAGCTTTCATATCAAATAAACATTAGAATATACTGCCTAAAGTATTGATAGTGAGCACATGGCCTTATTTAAGTTCACTGTGTGGGACAGAACTGCCACTGTGTGTTCAAACCCACAGTTACTCTATCTTGTCATAACTTTTGTATTATCATTCTCCATTATCAAGAGGCCCTGCTCAGTGAAGATTACTCTGTGCAGTGCATCCCCCACTGAAAGCATATGCAAGTGTGTTCGGTAACATAATGCCCCCCAGATGTTGATTTTGAAAACAAAATAAGGAAATTATGTTGGAATGTCGATAGATGTAAAAGGACATTTATAGTAATTTAGTGGGAATGCTGTAACAGCATTCCAACTATCTGTTCTTCTACACACGAAATTCTTTAATTTTATTCCGCCCGTTATTTTGCCGGTCTTCTCCACCTGCATTGAACATCGCAGAAACTCCGTTCAAACATCAAAACGTTCAGCTCGGTCGGGAATCGAGTGCTATTACTTTAATCATTCATAACTTTCATAATTCCAGAGATACAGCCCATAATTCATCACATGTTTAACCATTGAAGTCAAGGGAGAAAATCTTCAGACTTGAACAATCTTCATGCGACTTCAACTGCTAACTGTTCCTTCATACTTTCACTCAGAAACCTCATTCCAACTTTAAAATGTTACACATCTTTCTGACATTATTCGTGTAACACAACTTTTAAATCTGATTCTTACTTTTAGAGATATTAAACATTGTTCAGACCTTTGTTAAAGAGGCTTTCTTCAGATTTTAACATTAACTAGAGTGCATGATGTCACAGCTAGAGTGTAGGAAATCTTTAAAGCTGCCATAATTCCCAAACCCTACATTCCTGACACATAATCTTTCATGACAAACGTAGGAAAACATCTCGTAGCTTGAAAAATGACAAATAATTAAGCAAAATAATTAAACAAAATGCCTCTTGAGGGCATGAAGTGACAAAAACGTTCAACATGTCTCCATTAAAGCCCATTGTAATTTCAGGCTGATATTTCCTCACAGCAGCAGCCGCACACTTTTAGTTAATCTGCCAAAAAGGCCACATTATTAACCCGAAAGTACACAAAAAGCACACTTCAGATACTCAAGGTCCTTGAGATGCTTCACGCTTTGAAATTTCACCGATATCTGTTACGGTTCTTCAACAAAACGTTCACATGTAACAGGTTTATCTCTCATTCAGAACAATGGAAACCTTTGATCTCTGGACACCTCGTTAGCTCAAATGTAAACACCTGTGTCATGGAACACGATGATGTCATAACTCCAACTGACATGCTCAGAGCAGCAGACTTCAGATAATGGTTAATGGTCCTGCCCTCAACAGCTCTACGTCAATTATGGGGTGTCATCATATGCCGAGATCATAAGATCAAGAGGGCGATCAAGAGAAGAGAGAGAGGGTGATCAAGAGGAGAGAGAGAGGGCGATCAAGAGAAGAGAGAGAGGATGATAGAAGAGTGAGAGGGTGATCAAGAGAAGAGAGAGGGCGATCAAGAGAAGAGAGAGAGGGCGATCAAGAGAAGAGAGAGAGGGTGATCAAGAGAAGAGAGAGAGGATGATAGAAGAGTGAGAGGGTGATCAAGAGAAGAGAGAGGGCGATCAAGAGAAGAGAGGGCGATCAAGAGAAGAGAGAGAGGGTGATCAAGAGAAGAGAGAGAGGGCGAGCAAGAGAAGAGAGAGAGGGCGAGCAAGAGAAGAGAGAGAGGGCGATCAAGAGAAGAGAGAGAAGAGAGTCAAACTAAAGTGGAGACATGGCAGAAACCCTACAGTGAAGTGTTCTCCTGTGAGAGGGCGATCCAGAGAAGAGAGAGAGGGCGATCAAGAGGAGAGAGAGAGGGCGATCAAGAGAAGAGAAAGAGAAGAGAGAGAGGGCGATCAAGAGAAGAGAGAGAGGGCGATCAAGAGAAGAGTGAGAGGGCGATCAAGAGAAGAGAGAGAGGGTGATCAAGAGAAGAGAGAGGGTGATCAAGAAGAGAGGGTGATAGAAGAGTGAGAGGGTGATCAAGAGAAGAGAGAGAGGGCGATCAAGAGAAGAGAGAGAGGGTGATAGAAGAGTGAGAGGGTGATCAAGAGAAGAGAGAGAGGGCGATCAAGAGAAGAGAGAGCGGGTGATCAAGAGAAGAGAGGGCGATCAAGAGAAGAGAGAGAGAAGAGAGAGAGGGCGACCAAGAGAAGAGAGAGGGTGATCAAGAGAAGAGAGAGAGAAGAGAGAGAGGGCGATCAAGAGAAGAGAGAGAGAAGAGAGAGAGGGCGATAGAAGATTGAGAGGGTGATCAAGAGAAGAGAGAGGGCGATCAAGAGAAGAGAGAGAGTAAT